CGATGAGGGCGCGGGCCGCCTGCAGGTCCTGGGGCAGCGCCAGCAGCGAGCGGTAGACCTGGCACTGGTAGATGCCCGTGCTGTGCCACACGCACTCCATCCACAGCCCCTTCAGGTAGGAGACGGCCGTCAGGATGTTGGTGCCCACGTGTGCTGTCCGGCGCCAGTGCGGCAGGATGGTGGTGATGAGCGTGCCCACCATGCCCAGGAAGCTGAGCAGGAAGCCCAGCAGCTGCACGGCCATGCTCGCCATGGCCCCGCCGGGCAGGGGCTGCGCTCACTCAGGCGCCCACAGGGGTCCTAAGGGAGCGGAGGGCAGGAGAGAGAGGAAACGGTTAAATGTCATCTTGGTGCATGTATTTCTGCCACGGAAGCCGAGTTTCCATAGGCAGTTGGCATGACAATTAATATATTTTATTTATTTACTAGTGGCCCGGTACACAGATTCGGGCACGAAGGAAATTAATTAGAAGAAATATTTTAATATCGGGCTCCCTCCTCTCTGGTTCCAGGGTGCATCACCCGAGAACCGATGCTGCCAAGTCACTGCAGCTCGGCAGCTCCTGCCCCCTGGTGGTCAGTGCATGTTATATGTACCAGTTAGTTGGATGATAAGATGGTCACTTAGCCTTTTATATATATAGACTAGAGGCCCGGTGCACAAATTCATGCACAGGTGGGGTCTGGCCAGCCTGCCCTGATTGGGAAAAAAGCAGTTGAGTAAATATAACTGAATAAATAAACGAGAGGGCGAGGGTTAAGCCCAGGTTCACGTACCTCTAAAGATCACCCTCTTTCTACACTACCAAGGAGTTTGCTCTAAAACCATTAATTAACAATAACACAATTACTGCTTCTAATCTTAGTATCGTAGCATCACTTCACTCTATACAAAATAATAAATACGTTAATTTCATGACTTACCTTTTTATTTCTGGACTAGAGGCGCAGTGCACAAAGTTCGTGCACTGGTAAGGTCCCTAGTGGCTGCCAGCTGCCGGCCAGGTACTCCCTCCCTTCCCCCGGCCAGCTCTGCCCCCTGGTCGAACTCCCAGACGAACTCCCGGTTGAGGGGACAATTTGCATACTACACATTTATTATATAGGATAGATTTTTAAAAATGCATTTTAACTGATTTCAGAGAGGAAGGGAGAGAGAGAGAGAGATAGAAACATCAATGATGAGAGAGAATTATTGATGGGCTGCCTCCTGCACGCCCCCAACTGGTCCACAACCTGGGCATGTGCCCTGACCGAGGCTCGAACAGTGACCTTCTGGTTCATAGGTCGATGCTCAACCACTGAGCCACGCCTGCCGGGATTTAAACATTCATAGAGGGCGTCAATGTCTCCGCACTGTGGGAGGCAGACCTGGGCTCTGCCCTGGTGAACAAACAAGCCAGGTAACACAGCGACGAGGTGCCCAGAGGCCGGCGGTGGTCTGGTGGGGGGGTGGGGCTACCCCCGCCCCCAGTCTAGGGAGGGGACGGGTTATGGGAGTCTGTGTATTGGGATTTAAACATTTATAGAGGGCGTCAATGTTTCTGCACTGTGGGAGGCAGACCTGGGCTCTTCCCTGGTGAACAAACAAGCCAGGTAACAACACAGCGACGAGGTGCCCAGAGGACGGCTGTGGTCTGGTGGGGGGTGGGGCTACCCCCGCCCCCAGTCTAGGGAGGAGGCCTGGTTTATGGGAGTCTGGGTATTAATGGGGGGCGATGACTGCTACTTCAGGAACCAGGAGGCAGCTATTTCTAACGTTGTAAATGACCGTTTGCTCAGGACCCAGTTTTCTCACACAAACGGTCTGCTGATGGGCCCCATGCTTCTCGCTGCGAGGCTCCTTTCTTTAGGGTCTTCCCTCCACTCGGCAGGCGCGCTCCATGTGGGTGCTGGGTCAGGGCTGGGAGCCCCCCAGTCCCTCTGCCGTCCTCAGTCACAGCGGGGAGGAGTGGGGCTCACAGAGGAGGGGCTCTGATGTGCGGGCAGAGCTGTGCCCAACCTGCCTGATGCCCTGGCACCAACAGAGCCGACACCCACGGTGCCCGTTCAGGGGCCTGGCGCCTGCCATCTCAGGCATGGCTGCCAGCTCACTCATTCCCCGCAGCAACCCAGCGAAGCAGCTGCTGTTCATTTCTACGCAGGGAAACCGGCTGCAAGGGATGGACATTCTAGGCCCGGCCTGCTAGTACCGTCCATGATTATTTCCTCCCTCAAACGCTGTTCTCCTCCACTCAGCAGGCCTGACGTCAGGGGAGGCCGGGGTGGGGTCTAGGTGTCAGTGTGTTCTCCCCGAGAACTTCTCAGACAGCCTCGGCCCACTGCGGGTTCCGTGGGGAGGTGACAGCCACTCTGGGGCTGGGCCTGAGAGGTGGCCCGGGCAGGGGGCTTGCAGCACGGAAAACAGGACAGTCCCAGGCAAGTCAGGACGGTTGGTTCCCTGGGAGCCCGGAGGCTGCGGACTCCTCCGGACGCCTCTGAGGCCCGCCTGGTTGTCTCTGGCCGATGGCCACACAGGCCGTCCCCCGTCCAGGACATGCTGCGGCTTCTCGCAGCCCTTGCTTGTCAAGGTCAACCTCATTAAGTGCACAGATGCTCAGGGGTTCGGCCTAAACACGGAGCCTGCTTGACCCTGTGAGTCTAGGGAGGGGACGGGTTATGGGAGTCTGTGTATTTATGGGGGGCAAGGACTGCTATTCAGGAACCAGGAGGGGCTTTTTCTAAATGTGCGCTAGAAGGCCTCGCTGATTTAAGAAGTGAGTGTTAATGAGCCCCCTCCCAGCCACCACCCGTCCCCGCCCCTTCCCCAGGAGTTCCCCGCAGCTGCTCCTGGCATTAGGTCATGATTCCGCTTCCCAGCAAACACTTTGGAGCCATTGGATGGAAAAACAACTTCGAATGAATGAATCGAGTTGGAAACCACATAAAACTCATCTCTGGGCGGAAGACGCCCCAGCGTGGCCTCCAAGGAGGGGCAGGCAGTGCACGAGTTGACTCTGCCTGGGGGCTCCCCTTTGTCTGCAGACACATACATGTGTGTGTGTGTGTGTGGGCTCATGGAAGCCCTGGCTAGAGAGACGCGGGTCCAAGACAAACCCGGTTCCAGGAAGCAGGTTCCGAAGGGCAGGGCGGCTGTAAGGAGACCGGGCTTTCCAGGAGTACATGGTGGGTCTTGCCTTTGGGCTCACCAAGCCCCCAAAGCAGGATCCTGGTGGGCAGCATGGGCGTGGGGCCTGAGCGGTTCTGGGCTGCTGGAGGCTGAGCCTGC